GCGGCAGCGCGGGGCGGGCAGAGCAGCGCGCAGAGCGGGGCCCGGCGGTGCCCGCGGCCCCGGCTGCCCCGGGCCCGGTGCGCGGAGGTGCCGCCACGTGCTGCCCTGCGCCTCTGCCCTCCGCGTTGCCCTTCCAGAAACCTCTGCCCAGCTGGTGCCAGCTCGGGGTTTGCTCCCGTTGGCTCCATCGAGCCTGGCCCTCGAGGCTGCAGCTGGTCCCTGCCCACACAGGTGACCATGCACTGCACGGCACCAGCTCCGGGTCGGTGTCGGGGTGTCCATGGGATGGAAGCTCCGTTTGTCCCATTATGGAAGCCAGACAGGATTGCACAGCATCGCCTGGAGCAGGGAAGGAGCTGGCGGTGGTTGGAAGGGCCCGTGGGAAGGCACGAGGCAGCAATGGGCTCTGGTGAGCACTGCTGTCCAGCGCCAGGGCCATCCCCGAACAGCTTCCACCCCAGGCCGCCCTATCCCCTGCCTCCTCACTTAAAACTACCTCTTTCCTTAGGTCTAGTGCAAGCTGAGGCCAAAGGGGCGCATCGTGCCGAGAGGGACTAAAGTCGGCRTGGGGGTGATGGGATCCTGGGGAGCTGAACCTGGCTCCGAGGCTGTGGGGCTCTGTGCGGGAGCGGGGCGCTGMGGGGCAGCCCAGGCCTCTGGTGAGGCTGCCAGCACCCCGAGGTGCGCGGCGGGGAGCGTGAGCAGCAGCCTGGGGGCAGTGAGCAGCAGACGAGGCTGCATCAAAACCCCTCCATCAGCACTGGGAGCTTCCCACTCTCCTCTCTTGCTAGTCTTGCTGATGCTTAACAAGAGATCTGTTGGAGCTTCAAAAGTTTAACTGCTTAAATTTTTATTTTGTTCCAGGTGGAGATTAACAGAGGTGCCCAGAATACCCCTGATTGGCGGGGTGTGTGTCTGCAGACTACATGTAAGTAGACTGGTGGAGGRTTGCTCGCCACAGCAGTTCATATGTGTTTTAGTTTCCTTGTGGCTTTTAGGATGCAGAGTGAAAATAAACAAAGCCCACTTAACAGAGATTAATTGAAAAGGCAGCCTAGATTTTTTTCCCCAGCCTTTTGTACTTTATTAACACATTTGCTGAAGCAACTTGTGGCTATAACAGATGCCTGTTTGAATAAATATTCATTCATTTGACATCAAGTCTCAGAGGATGGTACTTTTATTTTATGGGGTTGTGTTTTCCCCAGGTAAGTTTGCTATGTTGTCAGCTGTATAAAAAGTAGAGTATTGAGGGATAGAATCCAGTTTGAACAAGGAGGAGAAAATGATAATTGTATTAGCCRTAGTTATAAAGCCCTGTATCATAGTCCTAGTGACCTCCCATATCCCTTGCCATCTCACACCAGTGTAACTGTAGTACCTGTCGGGAATGCTCTCCTGCCGCTCGCCGACGGCATCGCGGGCGCTGTGGGAACGCGGTCGGTACCGCATGTCCCCAGCCTCTGCACCATCACCCCGGCCTGCCGCACAGCCCAGGGCAAYGCAGGAAGGGGAGGCCTGCAGTTTTACCCCATCCTGTGGCCTCTTTTTTTCTCACCTTCTCAAAGGCTATCTCTCTGGGTCCATCTCCATTCCTCTTCTGCCAGAGCACTGGTGTGAAGGCATCATCAATATGGGGAGGCTTAACAACTGCTCCGGGCCACTCAGAATCTGATAATATTTTTCTAGGTTTCAGAATTTGCAGTTCAGTCTCTTAGGTTTGACATGCAGCGCGGCGATAACGAACAGTGGCACGGGAGCAAAAGGCACTTGGTGCTTCTTGCAAGAAAACTGCGAGATGGAAAAATCATTGTTTGATCTCCTTGCCCCTAACATTTTAAAGGTGTACAGATGGTAAAATAAGGCCGGTGTACATTTTTCATGATTAGGAGCAACTCAGTTGAAAATACTGCTTAATGTTTACAGTCATCTACTATATCTTCTTTATCACAAACTCATTKTTTCCTGGCAGTAAATATATCTACATCTAGCAATGCATCTTTCTGTCCTGTGCGCTTTTGCAGAGCAGACTGTCTTTAAAGCACCTGCTGGAGCATGAACGGCAGAGTCAGCAAGTGGAAGAAATACTGTGTTAAGAGTAAATGTGATGTGCTAAAATTTAGACTGTGCTTTTTATTATTAATTAGTGTCATGGTCTAACTAACATGAACTAGTGACTCTTGTAAGGTAGACCCCAAACAGATGGGGAGATCTCTTCCCTAGATAATTTGCAATGTAAACAGAGAAACCTTGAGAGGTATATCAGGCAAAACCCTTGGGCCAGGAAGAGATACAGGGACTTACATAGGGAAGAGCAGGAAGCCTGTTATAGAGCCAGTAGTTACAGCTCATCCTGTTGTGCCTTAAACTTAAAGTCACTACCACAAATAGGATTACTTTTAGGTTGTGATGTTGGGATTTATGAATGAAAAATGCCCCCTAAATACATTGTTCCTACCTTTTATTTTTTTTTCCCTGTTAATTTATATCCTCAAGAATTTACAAGAAAATTAGAGGTAACTTTTTTTTGTCCAAAAACTGAGAAGTAAAGTAAGCACAGCATTGGGCAGGAGCCAACTGTTAGGAAACCATCTCCCTGCCTCTTTGTCAGCTGGTGTTTAGCCCATCTGTTGGTTTTTTACTGCCACCTTACAAATCCTGGCACAGGAACCTGGTAGAGGAAAGATGAGGAAGGAGTGGAGGAAGAGATGAAGGCAGGAGCCAGAAGGCTGCTGGGCTTCACTTGCTCACGTTCAGAGAATGACTGCTTGGAAATGCTTTAGCTCAGCAATAATCCTGGGAAGGCTCTGACATATCTGTCATGAGACCTAAAATTTGGGACGCTTAAAGGAGTTTTCAGGATAGCTTTACTTTCTTTGGATCCCTGTGTGCTTGAATAAAGCCAAGAAGAAAAGTATTTGGCCAAGTTCACTTCAGCGCGGGAATCAGCGAGGCAGCCAGGGTACTGTATAACACTGAACACCGTGGTGCCTAAATCCATAGAAGAATAATTAAATTATGTTTAAGCACTACAGGCATTTATTATGCATCATAATAATCCTGTGAGGTAGATAATAAGTTGCACTGTATGGCATATATTGCATTTGAGAAACATTTTGTACACACCAGATAACTAAATGATCAGTTCAGTACTTTTGTTTGGTGGGTTAGCTTTAAGCACCTAAAAACACAGCAGGTAAATGCATGATTTAGGAACACACAGTTGTGTAAAAAGGGTTGTATTTCAATGTTCACATGGAATTACTATAGTCTGTGGCATAAATTCTTTCCTTGTGTGTGGATTAGGGGTGCAAGAAGAAATGTTACAGTCCTTTTACTGTTCCTCTGTACCTATAGGCATTCATAGGGATCTGTGGTCTGTGCATGACAAGTGAGGATCAATGCTTAAAAAATACATATTTTGTTATTGAAAGCAGCTTCTATTATTCTTCTTTTAACCTTTTAAAATATTGTTTTACTTGGAATACTGTAAGAAAAGTAGATAAACTAAAGAGAGCATCTTCAGATGGGATTGGTTTGTTGGTTCGACAATAGTAATTTGCACTTCCTAAGGGCTTTTCCCTTTCTGTGTGTAAACATCATTTTAGTGAGTATTCATCTGCAAGCAATATCATGAAGAGAATTTCTGCTTTCTTTCTTGAAATTTTAATGGGAAAAAATGGCCTTGATGTATTTTAATTGATAGTTTCAGCTTGTTTTAACACAGACCGAATTTTTAGTGTAGAATCATGAATGTTTGACTGTAGCAGAGTATAATGCAAATACTGGCAGACTTTTATCTCTAGCAAAGTGTG